ACAATAACCCCTAATCCCAACCTTCCTTTTGTGGTATGGAACCTTGTGGTACAATTTCATAGAAATACATACACTTATTCTCATGTTATTATTTGGAAATCAAATGTCTTCAGACTTCGAAGAAGACGCTGACAACGCCATAACATTATACGACCGCAAAATTTTTGCGATCATATAAAAACACTATACTTATATTTTCATTACAGGGGAAATTCAAATCCAATTCTTTTTTCTGAACTATACATTAGCATTCCTTGAAGAAGGCATTAGGAATATTTCACAGCATTATTATAAATTTGTACTAGTGTTTTCATATTTTTACCTCGCCGCGATATAGCCTTGTTGTGCTAATGCGGCGTAAAGCAACCAACAATCAATCAATCAATCAATCATATTTTTACTTATAGTATTGAGTTAAGTGCTTTTCCCTTATTCCTGTATTTTAAGTGCTTTTCCCTAATTTCTGTATTTATTCTATCATTTGTTCTTTTTTGTTCATTTATTTATTTTACTGTTGGAGATCTACAAAGAAGGTTACCCAGTTTGAGGTAGACCTAAGAAAACTAGATGAACCCTGCCATAGGTTCATTTTCCAAGTGAGAAACATATCAGGTAGAGTTATTGCAGACTGTTCAATTTCTTAACAGCTTAATTTTAAGACTCTCTGCAATTTAAAGCTAGATATGCCAATACTGTGTACACACTGGTGTATTATTTAACCATGTGTTAACGTCTTGATGTTTTTTTAAATTGTTTTGGTTGATTAATCATTTTTTTAAATTTCATATAATTTCATAAAATCAAACTGTTATTCAGGTGATTGATTGCAGTTAAAGAAAACTTTAGTCTGGGAGAACATGATTTATTTATTAGTTGTGATTGGCTTTGAACTAGCTTTCAGTAACTGCGAGTACTCCTATTTCAATGCTTTGTATCTATTGCATTTATGTTAGTTGTTTTTGTGCCTCTACCAATCTTTTGAGTTGAGCCAATTGCAACTGATTTTTACAGATTGTTCTCATGTTTTGCTGTTACACCACTGTCCCAGGTTAGGGGGAGGGTTGAGTGCTCACAAACATGTTTAACACTGCCACATTTTTTATGTGCCTGTCCCAAGTCAGGAAGGAGCCTGTCGTTCAGTGATTGTCGTTGGTTCATGTCTGTCATATTCGTTTTTTGAAAATTGTTTAGTTATACATTAAGCCGTTAGTTTTCTCTTTAGAATTGTTTAAAATTTTTCATGTCCGGGCCTTTTATAGCAGACTATACGGTATGGGTTTTTCTCATTGTTTAGACCGTACGGTTGCCTGAAATTGCTTACATCCACTTCATTTGAACTCTGGAGGATAGTTGTCTCATTGGCAATCATACCATATCTTCTCATTTTCATATCTATAATACCGGTAATTTTGAAATTGTTCTTAATATTTTATCTATCAAAAATGATTGAATTTATATCTTATAGACAGGACATGTTACCTATTCTTCCCCCATAACTTTTTTTTTTGGTCCTTTTTATTCATCTCTCAAATTTCCAACATCTACCAAAGTTACAGTTTTAATCTTTTTGTATGCTTGTAACTTAAATGTGCTGTACATATTTTTTATTTGTGTACTGTCAAAAATTAGGATCCAATTCAAAATTTGTTCAGCAATGAATGTTAAAAAAAATATGATAATTGGCATGCAATATGTTCACATAAAAAGGGGTCAGTCTTCTTGAGATTGCTCACTGTACGATATTTAATTGACTTCATTATTGTTGAAGACCTCACAGAGGCTTCAAGATGAGGAACAGCAGAAACAGTAATATGTGTTTAATTTCTTATAATTTCATTAGACTTTTGTCCTGTGTATATATACCCAAAATGTGAGAATCAAATTCACTAATTTTAAGGACGTAGAAATTGACCTTTGTGAGAAACATAAATTAGAGCATCGTAAAAACTTAAAATCCTCCAAGCGTTTTTTTCATTACGGAAGATTACATGCATGGTGTCCCACCAGTAAACATTGTAATCAAAGGACAATAACTCCTATAAGGAGTCAACATAAGATATATGCCATGTTAATTATTTGTAGATTGTCTTGCTGATTATTTTTTGCTTTTTAAGGTAAGTTTCTATCTATCTATTCTAGAGGGTTGCTGCTCACAAGGAAGCTATTAAACCAAGAGTTCCAAGTGGTGAAGTTGAAATCGTCCCTTCGTAAATTTTACATCACGAGTTAGTTGACCATTATGGAATATCGATTTCACTGATGACAACAGATATGTTCCAATTGTTGTAACTACAATCCTGTCCCATTTTCCCTGAATGTGACCTACTGAATTAGACTTATCACCGGGTTTGTACTAACATGAGCAACATGATGGGTGCCACATGTGGAGCAGGATCTGTTACCCTTCCAGAGCACCTGAGATCACCCAAGTTTTTGGTGGGGTTCGTGTTGCTCAGTCTTTAGTTTTCTATGTTGTGTTTTATGTACTTTTGTTTGTCTGTTTGTCTTTTTCTTGTTTTGCCATGACGTTGTCGGTTTATTTTCGTCTTGTGAGTTTGAATGTCCCTTTGATATCTTTTGCCTCTCTTTTTCAACATACTGTGGTGGTATACCAATTTTCATGGGTTTCGTGGGTCACAATAAACCATGAAAAATGTGTATTGAGCCTGATGTTTACTTCCGGTTATGGTATGCAGTTCTAGTATAGTGTTGACTTGCGATAAACATGGTAACATAAAACATGTTTTTGAAATAATATAAAAGTATTTTGATTAAATGAATAATAAAATCCTTAGAATATCAGTGAGAATTTACTTATTTAAATCAATTGAAATTGTTTGCAAGTTGTTATTAACCGTGTGATAATTTGGTTTACTTGCTTGTAGGCACCGAATGCAGACCAAGAACCTTCACCTTGCTTAGCACCAGCACATTGAGGAACTGTGGAAGGCATTTTGTGTATAAGTACGAGAAAGACATATGGTTCTAGCTTTCAATGTTTACATCATTTATGGCATTGACTAATCAGAATCATATAGTGTGCTAATTATAGACAAGATTATTTAATCTATTTTGTAACTTATTGTAAGAATTCTCATAAGTTAGCCCATGCTACAATTAAATTGTATTTAGCAGGATTTAGGCATAATTACTTAAGAAGTGGGCATCCAGACCCTTTAACAAATTGTGCACCCTTAGAGTATATATCTAGAGGTATAAAAAGTCACAAAATAATGTTAAACATAAGAGATTACCTATAACATCTCATATTCTGAAAGATTGTGCTTTATGTTAAATCAAGGAGTTTTTATTGACTTAATATTGCAGTTTTCATTTAATCTAGCCTTTTTTGGATTTTTCCAATGTGGTGAATTTCTTTTTAGTAGGGAAATTGCTCTGCAGGACACACTTGTAATTCAAGATATTAATTAAATGTGACCCATTTCAAGAAGTTAATAACATCCAGTTGATGTGATGATAAGATATATACAAATTTGAAAAAATTATGGAGCTAATACAGACTCCTATTTATTTCTTAGTGATGACTATGAATACACTTCTTGTCTAGATTTATAACTCTACTTCCAGATTTGCTGTGCAGATAAGGATATTATAATAGTAAATTTTGTGGCCATTCTTTTCCAATTGGTGCTGCTACATCAGCAGGGTTTCAGGATCATGTCATCCAGACATTAGGTAGATGGTCATCAAGTTGCTATATACATTATGATAGAACTAACCCAGAAACTGTTTGCAAGCACAAACAAGATGTGTTTTCCTAATTTTGAATCAAAGGAGTCAAATATTTTAAGAATTAAATTTTGTAATTTTTGTTTTTATTATTGCTGTTAATTCATTATTTTATTTTTTGTTTGTTTTCGTTTTCATATATGTAGTTAAATTCAAGTACATTCATCCATGTTGATGGTCTATTCAATTTTTCGAAACAATAAATATGTATCAATTCTTTGGGCTTTCACTCATGCTACACATTCAATTTGGCCAACTTAATTTCAGGGAAATTATTTTCCAACAAGGCTTTGTTTAATTTAAGGGTCATAATTAAGTTAGTTATTTGTACCTGCTGGGATCTACCGCAGGAATTCTCATTTAAAACACCTGTCTGGGATCTACCACAGGTTCTTATACATGTATGTTTTTAATGCTCACCTGTCTGGGTTCTACCACAGGTTATTGCATTTTTCACCTGTCTGGGTTCTACCACAGGTTTCAAAAATTTTTACCTGTCTGGATTCTACCACAGGTTCTAATAAATTTCACCTGTTCGGGCTCTACCACAGGTTCTTATAATTGTTTCACTTGTTTGGGTTCTACCACAGGTTTTTATGAACAAAAAACATCACCTGTCTGGGATCTACCACAGGTGCATAATTTAGGCAATTAATGAGCAGGTAGTGTTTTTGAGTTGTGTTATTTTAATTATTTTCATTGTAAGTTTTAATGAGTAGCCCCCTAGGAAGCCAAATGATACAATTATTGTTATTTAATGTATTTTAGAATTGTTTGTGAATATGATATTTGTATAGTGTTTATACAATTGTGTCTTAGTATTAGTATGTTAATAAAATTAGAAATAGTTATTAAAAGTTTTGTGTATGATATTAAAGTATTAATAATGGCAAGCATATGGGTTCCTCCCAAATAAAACAATTCCATTTCTATTCATCAAATCAATATTAGTTATAGATAAATGTGGTATGGTACATGAGACTGATTATTGTTAAATATAGGTAAACATCAACTTGCAGACATATACTTATCATTAATATGTATAAATGGGAATTTAACAATTAAATTAGAGTATATACATATTTTTATAAATTCCTGTGGTCTGTTCTTTCCCTGGGTTTAATCTTTTATTTACTGTTAAATGTCAGCTTGTCAGCTTAGTTTAATTAGAGGACTTGGGATAGGAGATAGATCATAGATAGGAAACAGCATGATGACAGCATGGGTGTAATCAGAGAAGCATCTGTATATAATTTTGATAAGGGGGTCAGTTGTTAGTTGAGCATTGCACTGCAAACAGTCAATTTTTATTTGTGGAAAATTAATTCAGCCCATCCACCGTCCCCAGCTACACCTAAAAAATTGTTCTTATTATTTTTTTTTTTTTTTTAAAGGGGCTACTCATAAAAATATGTTGTTTTTGTTTTGTTTTTTGTTTGTATTGCCAACTTAATTTCAGTGAAATTATTTTCCCCCAATTCATTAATTACATCTTATAAATAATTAAGGCTTTGTTTAATTTAAGGGTCATTATTAAATTAGTTATTTGTACCTGCTGGGATCTACCACAGGAATTCTCATTTAAAACACCTGTCTGGGATCTACCACAGGTTCTTATACATAGATATAAGAAGATGTGGTATGAGTGCCAATGAGACAACTCTCCATCCAAGTCAAAATTTATAAAAGTAAACCAATATATGTCAAAGTACGGTCTTCAACACGGAGCCTTGGATCACACCGAACAGCAAGCTATAAAAGTTACTAGTGTAAAACCATTCAAATGGGAAAACCAAAGGTCTAATCTATATAAAACAAGAGTGCACACGCTGAAATGTCTCGCCATCTTTACTAATCACTGATATTATGTTGATAGTCCTAAATATAAAGCTTTATTACAACTGTCACATAAACTTAACATTAACCAAGAAAACTAAACATTGACCAATGAACCATGAAAATGAGGTCAAGGTCAGATGAACCATGCCAGGCAGGCATGTACAGCTAACAATTCTTCCATACAACAAATATAGTTGACCTATTGCTTATAGTTTAAGAAAAACAGACCAAAACACAAAAACTTAACACTGAGCAATGAACTATGAAATGAGGTCAAGGTCAAATAAAACCTGCGCAACTGACATATAGATCATAAAATATTTCCATACACCAAATATAGTTGACCTATTGCATATAGTATTAGAAAAAAAGACCAAAACTCAAAATCTTAACTTTGACCACTGAACCATGAAAATGAGGTCAAGGTCAAATGACACCTGCCAGCTAGACATGTACACCTTACAATCATTCCATACACCAAATATAGTAGACCTATTGCATACAGTATAAGAAAAACAGACCAAAACACAAAAACTTAACTATAACCACTGAACCATGAAAATGAGGTCAAGGTCAGATGACACCTGCCAGTTGGACATGTACACCTTACAGTCCTTCCATACACCGAATATACTTGACCTATTGCTTATAGTATCTGAGATATGGACTTGACCACCAAAACTTAACCTTGTTCACTGATCCATGAAATGAGGTCGAGGTCAAGTGAAAACTGTCTGACGGGTATGAGGACCTTGCAAGGTACGCACATACCAAATATAGTTATCCTACTACTTATAATAAGAGAATTTACCATTACAATAAAATGCTCCGCTGGGAACAGCTTGATACGACCGCAGAGGTCGAATCCTGAACAGTTGGGCAAGTATGGACACAACATTCAAACTTGATACAGCACTGAATTTGGATTGTGATTAAATATTTGACACAGCACAGGTTTCTGACACAGAATGAATGTGGTCGAAGAACTTAAGAATTTTTAATTTACCTTTTCAAACCATATCATTATTATTTGCTTTTATATATAAATCAGAAATAACCAATTTAAAATGGAAAATTTTAAAGAAAAAAAAATCCCCCCCCCCAATTTTTTGATTCCTCTTATGATTCATCACCCCCAAACTCAATCCCAGCCTTCCCTTTGTGGTATGGTACCTGCAGTACAATTTCAGAGAAATCCATACACTTGAACACAAGTTATTGTCTTGAAACTAGAAAAATGCTTGTTTTTTTGCCCCTTTTTGGCCCCAAATTCCTAAACGTTTAGGGCAATTACCCCCAAACTCAAACCGAGCTTTCCCTTTGTGATATGGAACCTTGTAGTACAATTTCATAAAGATCCATACACTTACACACAAGTTATTGTCCTGAAACTAGAAAAATTTGTTTTTTGCCCCTTTTTTGGCCCCTAATTCCTAAAATTTTGAAGCAATTACCCCCAAAATGAATCCCAGCCTTCCCTTTGTGGTATGGTACCTTGCAGTACAATTTCAGAGAGATCCATACACTTGAACACAAGTTATTGTCTGGAAACTAGAAAAATGCTTATTTTTGGCCCCTTTTTCCTAAACGTTTTGGGCAATTATCCCCAAACTCAATTCCAGCTTTCCCTTTGTGATATAGAACCTTGTAGTACAATTTCAGAAAGATCCATACACTTACACACAAGTTATTGTCACGAAACTAGAAAAATGCTTGTTTTTTGCCCCTAATTCCTAATATTTTGAAGCAATTACCCCCAAAATCAATGCCAGCATTCCCTGTGTGATATGGAACCTTGTGGTACAATGTCAGAGAGATCCATACACTAACACACAAGTTATGACTGGAAGTTACAAAAATGCTTATTTTTGGCCCCTTTTTCCTTAACTGTTGGTACCATAACCCCCAAAATCAATCCCAACCTTCCTTTTGTGGTATTGAACCTTTTGGTAAAATTTCATAGAGATCCATTCACTTAAACTAAAGTTAGAGTGTGAAAACCAATGTGTCTTCCGACGATGAAGACGACTACGACGCCAACGTCATACCAATATACGACCGCAAAATATTTTTTGCGGTCGTATAAAAAATGTTAACTTTTTTTTCAAGTAGTCACTGAACCATGAAAATGAGGTCAAGGACATTGGACATGTGACAGACGGAAACTTCGTAACATGAGGCATCCATATACAAAGTATGAAGCATCCAGGTCTTCCACCTTCTAAAATATAAAGCTTTTAAGAAGTTACCTAAGCCGCCGCCACCGCCGCCTGATCACTATCCCTATGTCGAGCTTTCTGCGACAAAAGTCGCAGGCTCGACAAAAACGAGAAACGAGAAACACTTATGAACCACATCAACAAACGACAACTACTGAACATCAGATTCCTGTATGTTTTTAATGCTCACCTGTCTGGGTTCTACCTCAGGTTATTGCATTTTCCCCTGTCTGGGTTCTACCACAGGTTTCAAGAATTTTTACCTGTCTGGGTTCTACCACAGGTTCTAATAAATTTCACCTGTCCAGGCTCTACCACAGGTTCTTATAATTGTTTCCCTTGTTTGGGTTCTACCACAGGTTTTTATGAACAAAAAGCATCACCTGTCTGGGATCTACCACAGGTGCATAATTTAGGCAATTAATGAGTAGGCAGTGTTTTTGAGTTGTGTTATTTTAATTATTTTCATTGTAAGTTTAATTGAGTAGCCCCCTAGAAAGCCAAATGATACAATTATTGTTATTTAATGTATTTTAGAATTGTTTGTGAATAAGATATTTGTATAGTGTTTATACAATTGTGTCTTAGTATAAGTATGTTAAAAGTTTTGTGGATGATATTAAAGTATAAATAATGGCAAGCATATGGGTTCCTTCCAAATAAAACACTTCCATTTCTATTCATAGAATCAATATTAGTTATAGATAAATGTGGTATGGTACATGAGACTAATTATTGTTTATAGGTAAACATCAACTTGCAGACATATACTTATCATTAATATGTATAAATCAACAGTAATATGCAAATGTTGAAATTAAAATAGCTACACTTTCCCAAGTCAAAGTGGACAGCAGTTCTTTAGCAGTTTATTAGCATTTACAGTTCTTACTCGACAGCTGTTCTTTAGCAGTTCATTAGCATTCACAGTTGCCAAATACAAGGCAATAGTTAATTTGCATATAGGCATTCCAATAGCATTCCATAGCAGTTTCTTAGCAGTTTATTTAGCCTTCACAGTTATTTAGCAGTTATTTTTGACGAAAAATTTAAATGAGATACTCAAAAACTGCTATCAATAATGAATATTCATAGAAACTGCTAAGTTGTACATCCTAATATGGTTTTCTAAACTGCTAATAACTGCTATGGAATGCTATCAGATCTGTCAAAGTTGGAATACAAAGGTACACATGAATATACAGTGTACAAGATATGAATGCAAAAATAAAATTCTAATATTTTACTACAAGTCTTGTTGAAATTTCAAAAAGTTGTACCAACTTATATTTGTAATTTGAGCAGTAACTGCAATCAAATGACTCTATTTTAATTCAATAACAGACTTGTTAAGGGGTGTAAACATGCTTTGTGAGTACTGTACCTGGCCTAATACCCCTTATTAATTATGTCAGTGGCAGAATAATAGGAACAGTTAAGAATTATAATGCACTTTAAATTTCAGTGCTTATAAAAAGCAACTTATTCAATAAGAGTGGTTACTTAAGAGACTATTTATTACCTTGACTAAGTGATTTTCAGATTAAAAGTTATTTTATTTTTATTATTTTTTAATTACCAAATGTACTACTAATTAATTTCTCTTCTACTATATATATTTTGTGTGGACCAAAAGAAAACAGTTATCTCCTCTTTCTCTTTTGGAATTAAACAAAATAATTCTTAAAACATGTAATATATTATGTTTCCACTTTCTGAAACAAACTTAAGTAACATATATTAACTTCACTAAATGGATTGTTTGGTCAATATTAAACAATCAGCTATATGTGACCTAGGTTTCCCTAATATTCCCTTCCCCTTTTTCAACTCTTGAATATGATTTATTTTTGTTTTTTTTTACAAAATTATATTAAAATATTCATATTTTTATTTTCAAATAACATCTTGCACTGTTAGTATATGCTAGTATTTTATTACAATCCCATTATCATCAGATATTCTATTTGAATAAACAACTATCCCCCCTTTTTTTTGGCTTTCTGTATTATTTCTGTTTTTCCCTACAAAGTTATGTCAGAAAATACAGATGCATTATCTGTAACTTCAACTTACTGTACTGCAGGTGTGAGAAATTATTCCATGTAGCCCAAATTAAACTTTATAATTGACATAAATACAGTTTTTCACTAGCAAGTATTTACACTCAGTTTGGAGCCAAAATGCACATTTGAAAATGATCAAATAACCTTCAAATAAAGGTTTACTATCAAGCTGAAAACACAGCCAGATCCAAGCATTTTTATAACAAAGATTAAAACCAAAACTGCTATCAAATTGCTATTGAACTGCTGTCATAACTGTTGTCCAATTGACAAATTGACAACAGTTAAGAAGGTAGATCCAGACTGCTAAGATGAATGCGAAGATGAATGCTAAGAGGAATGCTAAGAAATGGTGAAATAAGGCAGTTTCTCAAACTGCTATTAGATGGAATGCTATGAACAGCTGAAAGACTGCTAAAAATATGAAGAACTGGTAAATAACAGCTAATAAACTGCTAATGATAGCAGTTCAGTTTGACTTGGGTTAACATGTAAATTATGCAAAACATTCAAAGTTAATGAACCATGACTGAAAGTGCCGGCCAAAATAATATCCATGGAAATGAAATGTGCTAATTCTAATACAACATTACACCAAAACTCATGGACTTCCCATTATCATTGGTGGTTCCCTTAAAATCAACTTATCACAAACTTTATCAGACAAACTATGCTAATTTGAAAGTCAATAGACCATGACTGAGTTGCGAAGCCAAATTATTTCCATGGAAATTTGATGTGACAATCATAAGACAACTGCATACCAAATATCATTGACTTACTATATGTTGTTCCAGTTAAACTGACCTAATCAAAAACTTTAACAAATTGTTGATACCGCAGGTAGAAACAACCGCCTAAGTCTCGCCTCCACGACTTGGTCAAGGCAGGACAAAAATATATGCACATATAAAAATGCTTTAAAATACCTTGCAACTGTCTCATTTCTTCACTTATATCAATAGATTCTGATAACTCTGACTCATATTCTGGTTTAATCACTTCAAACTTTTTAATATCATAAATTTCTTGGCCTATAGGAGGTGAGTTTGGTGGTGTTGAAGGTGGCAATTTCATTTGTACAGGTGACATTATTGGACTGGATTTTGGTGTTGGCTTGGGAGTGTTAACATGTCTGTTATCAAATTCATCCTGCAATTATAAAAAAAATATAAAATCATATTTTTATAGAAACTTGAAAAAAGATTTCAAGGCTACAGAAGTGATATAAAGAATCTAAAATAAACAGAAGTACCGGTACATGTATGAAACAAGAATGGACACACTGAAATGTCTCGCCTGTTTTAGTGTTCATAATTGAATTTATGTTGAAAGTAAAAAAAATAAGTTTATATAAGCTTTACATTAAATGAACATCCCATTGAATACATCCTGAAACCTATGTTCAAATTTTAGTCTTTTTTAGTTACCTTGACCTTAGGCTTAAATATAGGTCTGTAATGCTTTTACATTCATGTTGAGTAACATGTTTTTAGAAAAAACAGCATCATAAAATCACATGGGATACACTTTTGGCTAATAAATCACAGGCAAATATAGCAACAACATTAGAGTAAATAAAATCGCATTATACAAATATTTTTTTTGAAACATTAAGTCAAATGACTACTAAAAGCAAACTTTGAAATTTCTTATGAAATAATTTTTCATCTAGATTTAAGGTTCATCAGAAGGGATTGACAAATATGGCCATTTTTTTTTTATTTCCTCTTGAGTACAGACAAACCTGTGCACAAGGAAAAGTTTTAAGGCATTGCAGAAACTGGATAAATATTTGTCAATTCCTTGAGATGAACCTGAAAGACCCCCCCCACCCCAAAAAAAAAAAAAAAAAAAAACTAAAATTATCTTCAATCTTTGATCAAAATATTGTAAAAAGTCATATTTTCATATTATCTATTTATCCGTTTATGTTGCTATGCTAAAATATATTTTACTTATCTCAATACTTATCTTATTTCATATGTATCAAAAATCAGTAAATGTGATTCTGTTGTGCAAACAAAATTTCAAAAGTTCTTCAATCTGTACATATTCAGCCAATTAATCTTTATGAAGGGACTGGAGTGAACTGTATTCTATGTTAAACATTCATGCATGAGTGACCTTATTTTAACATTTTCACACCTTCCAATGTTTTTGTTAATCACGGTTTAGTAATGATCCCTTAAAAGTTTTTATTATTTATTATCATTATTAATGTTATTTAAAGATTTTTATAAAATAATCTATTTCAATGTAAGTAATCAGCAGTTAAATAATAAAATACATTCCATACACCAAATATAGTTGACCTATTACTTATAGCATCTGAGAAGAAGACCAAACAACAGAAACTTAACATTGACCAATGAACCATGAAAATAAGCTCAAGGTCAGATGAAACCTGTCAGACAGACGTGCACACCTTACAATCATTCCATACACCACATATAGTTGACCTATAACTTATAGTATCTGAGAAGAGGACCAAACAAGAGCAACTTAACATTGACCAATGAACCATGAAAATGAGGTCAAGGACAAATGACACCTGCCAGACAGACATGTACACCTTACAATCATTCCATACACCAAATATAGTTGACCTATTGCTTATAGTATTAGAAAAACAGACCAAAACACAAAAACTTAACATTGACCAATGAACCATGAAAATGAGGTCAAGGACAAATGACACCTGCCAGTCAGACATGTACACCTTACAATCATTCCATACACCAACTATAGTTGACCTATTGCTTATAGTATTAGAAAAACAGACTAAAACACAAAAACTTAACATTGACCAATGAACCATGAAAATAGGTCAAGGACAAATGACACCTGCCAGACAGACATGTACACCTTACAATCATTCCATACACCAAATATAGTTGACCAATGGCTTATAGTATTAGAAAAACAGACCAAAACACAAAAACTTAACATTGACCAATGAACCGTGAAAATAAGGTCAAGGTCAGATGAAACCTGCCAGACTGACATGTATCCCTTATAATCATTCCATACACCACATATAGCTGACCTACTGCTTGTAGTATCTGAGAAACGGACCTAATCACGTAACTTTAACCTTGATCACTGATCCATGAAATGAGGCTGAGGTCAGGTGAACCCTGTCTGATGGACATGTAGACGTTGCAAGGAACCCATATACCAAATATAGTTATCCTATTACTCATAATAAGTATTTCATTTGACAAAAAAAACAAGCAGCCACTAAACCATGAAAATGAGATCAAGGACAATGGACATATGACAGAGGGAAAATTTTTAACATAAGGTATTTGTTTACAAGGTATGAAGCATCCAGGTCTTCTACTTTCTGAAACATAAAGCTTTATATAAATAGTTTATACCATAGCAGCCACTGGATTGTAATCCCTATGTCTCGCAGGCAAGACAAAAACAGGAAATAAGTAAAAAAATCCATTAATTTCTGTATATTTTGTATATCTTGTTTTGTTGATCATTTTTCTGCAGACAGTTTTTATTCTATTTATTCTAGTTTTCAAGATAATAGGCAAAGGACATTTATTAGAACCCATATACCAAATATAGTTATCCTATTACTCATAATAAGTGAGAAATTTACATAACAAAAAAACTAAACTTTTTTTTCAAGCAGTCGCTGAACCATGAAAATAAGGTCAAGGACATTGGACATATGACAGACGGAAAGTTCGTAACATAAGGTATCTGCATACAAAGTATGAAGCATCCAGGTCTTCTACCTTCTGAAATACAAAGCTTTATACAAATAGTTTACGCTGCCGTCGCCGCTGCCGCCGGATAGTAATACCTATGTCTCACTTTCTGCGACTTTCGTCGCATGCGAGACAATAAAAAAATGGAAAAAGATAAGATTTCTTAAACTTGACTCTAGCCTTTGTGACTACTGATTTCTTATTGAGATTTCCTATGCTTTGCAATTGTGGTGGTGTTAAAATTGACTTCTAGAAAGTATTAAAGGGCAAATTACTGTGAACAAGAAAGACAATAAAAGGCAATAATAACCATCAAAAATGGACCTTTAAAACAGATTTAACTATGAAGGCAGCTGTGATATTTCAACAAGACTAAAAATACAAGTTGCTTTTTAAAAAAATAAAGACAATTCGTGAACCTTAGAACTTTTTTATTCTAATTATTAATTCAACTGAACAAGAAATTATATATCAGTGTTTGCATGGTCATGTGTGTGGAAGATAATATTTTCTTTTTATTGTAAATCATTACAATTTTGGCATGTTGAGAGAAGTGTTAAATATAATGCAATGAGGAAAAAAAAAAAGATTCCCAGACGTATAATTTCTTAAAGAATAATAATGATTCAAAACATGGGGGACACATGTACCTTCTTCCAAAAATTCATAAAATTAATCTAGAAATAAGTAATGAGGCATTGCGAACTGGTCAGCTAGCAGGACACATTAATGTTCATTACCACCAATCATCAATAAATGCAACTCTCCCCGAGAGATACTTACTTGATCTAATTATAAAATCATTATTGAAGAGGCATAACTTTTACATTCAAAATAAAAAGATTCCATTAATAAAATAGAGTCACACGAGGTCAAAAAAGAATGCACTCTTATTGCCTATGATGTATATCAAGGTTCACAAATATGATCATTGATAATTAAGATGAAACTGTTATCAATGCATTAGAATTAATTGACACACAGGAGAACATACTTTAAAGATTCTCAACAAAATAGATTTAACTGCATTTGTTAAATTAATTCTTAGAAACAATGAATTTGAGTTTAATGGACTGTTTTACAAACACATTATAGGAGCGCCCATGGATGGTATATTTTCACCAACATGCACAGATCTGCATCTGTCTGTCCTATTCATTAAAATCTTAGATAAGTTCCAATGGAGAGAAAACATCAAATTACACTGTCAATAGGGATGACGGTTTTGTGGTCTTCACAAGCAAATTAGACCAAGTTGAAGATTTCTTTAACCTAGCAAACGAAATTGACATGAGGTGTCGACATCTAGTTTGACCTATTTAGAGGGTGGTAAAGGGTTATTTTCGTGCAACGTTTTCGGCCTTTTTATTTCACGTGAATTTGTGTTTTGATGTTTTATTTCTCATTTTCTCGTGTTTGGTTCAACGTGCATGCTTCGTGTTTCCCTTAATTATTTTCCGTGTTTCGTGTCGGTACTCTTATTTTCTCGTGCTTGTCCCGCATTTGATTAAAAGTAAACCGGGACTAATTCAAAGTCAGCCCAGATATTGTTTTAAATTATAAACTAATTAACTGGTCCCAAGATATTTATTAATAGCCTATTGTATTACTATAATAAATCGTATGCAACTAGATGACGCTAAAAAGTGACCACATGCAGGGTCGCCATGTCAATTTATAATGACTGCATGATCTCCAAGAACGGCTGAGTAATAACTTTTGGTACTTTTTTCCTAAATATTTACGATTTTATTCCTTGGCTTCGTTTTTCCAGAGTGTTTTTTTTTTTTCCGTGCAACGTTTTTGATTTGTTATTTCACGTGTTTCCGTGTTCAGATGCAACATTTGCAGATATTTTTACTGGTCTTCCTTTATAAATATGCATTTCTTTAAACATAATTTAAAAGCAGTGTAAGGGAAGTAATCAAAACTTTGTATTTGGATTACCTCCCTTACACTACTTTTAATTTGTCTTAATTTTTCATTAACCATTACTTTATACATAATTTAAAAGCAGTGTAAGGGAGGTAATTCAAATGATGTATTTGATTTATCTCCCTTACACTGCTTTAAATTATGTTTTGTACTAAAGTATTTGTCCATTAACCAGGACAACCTTGTTTTTCCCCCTTTTTTGCCCCTAATTCCTAAACGGTTTGAGCCATAACCCCCCAAAACAAATCCTAACCATCCCTTTGTGGTATGGAAACTTGTGGTATAATTTCAGAGAGATCCATACACCGTTCCACGAGTTATTATCTGGAAACTAGAAAATGCTTATTTTTGGCCCCTTTTTGGCCCCTAAAACTAGAATAATGCTTGTTTTTGTCGAGCCTTCGACTTTTGTCGAAAAAGCAAGACATAGCGATCCTACATTCCGTCGGCGTCGTCGTCGTCGGCGGCGTCCACAAATATTCACTC